TTTTGTGTGTGTATACATATACATATATATATATATATATATATATATATATATATATATATATATATACACAAAACATATATATATGTTTATATATATATATAATATATATATATATATATAAAAAAAAAAAATATATATATATATATAAAATTTATGACTTATTCTCTTTTATCGAATGATATAATATAATACCTATATGAGATATAAATTTATATACATGGTAAGGCAATAACTTTGATCTCCCTAAGTATCTTCTTTTTTCTTTTTTCTTTTAAGAATAGAGAAATTTCTTTTATAAAACTCTTACAATACAGAAAGGGGCCATAATATGGTAATAATAATTTCTTTTGCAAGTGTATGTGTGAAGGGGATATGAAGGTTGTCAGTTATAATTTTTCAAATATCTTTTTAATCCATTTCATGGATTTGTCGATGCAGCCCAACGTTCTTTAGAAAAAAAGTATTAACTTATGCGTATCGAAAAATTATTAATTCAGAGAATATTTTAATTTAAATATTGTTAAGAAACCATGTCGATGCGATTAAGATATAATAAGAGTAGATAATTAGAATAAGAGTAAATAAATAGTAGTAACAGTAAGAGAGTAATAGTTCTTTTTTTTAATTTATCTTACATTATTATTTTGCGTTTATATGATGTCGAAAAAAATGTAATTTGTTTATTAATTATTTATGAAATTATCCAATTTTTTATAAATCACTCGCAATATGTATTTTTTTTTTCTGGAAAAATAAGGAGAATTTATTTCTTAAGAATTTTTTTTATAAAAATTGTTTATAACAAATTCTTAATTAATTATTAACAATACGTGAAAAAAAAATAAAGAAAATTCTGACCTTTCAAAATGATATTCTATTCAAGTCTCCATGACTTTTAATTACGAAGATATTCTCATGTAAATAAAAAGTTTAATAATATAAAAAAAAAAAGATTGTTTCTTCGGTACAAAAAGTAATTCGTTTATTAATTATTTATTAATTCATATAATTTTATAAATCAATTCAAGTCTGATTTCTTTTTCGGACAAATTAAGATGAATTTAGTTCGTAAGAATTTATTTATAAAAATTATTTATAACAAATTGTTAATTAATTATTAACAATACGTCGAAAAAATAAAGAATATTCTGTTCTTTAAAATAGTATTTCAATCAAGTTTTTATGACTTTTAGTTTCGTAGATATTCACGTGTAAAGGTAAGACGTTTACGTTGACACACTGACCTATATAATTTCATTTATATTGGCACAATGGCACACTGACCTATATAAATTCGAAGAATTTACGTGGTCTTACTATATTACTACGAAAAAATGTAATATACAAATTATGAATGAAAATCTTTCGAAGCCGATATCTCCGGAACGAAAAATCGTAGAAACTTGAAACAAAAATCGTTTTCAAATGTAATTTATTCTTTATTTATTTAAACATTGCAATAATATTGTTATAATAAAATCGATTTTATTAATATTTTTTAACATTAATTTTTATCTTTTTTTTCTCGTAACAAGAACATAACTACAATGAATTTATTTAAATTTTTATTATAATTATGTAAATTTTATTCTATTTATTTAAAATAAAGAATGGAAGAATCATTAATAATCACCAATATGCGAAATTAAAAGCTGAAAAAATATCTCCTAAGTAAATAATTTTTCGATTTACATGAATCAATACTTTTTTTTCGTAGAGAATATTAAGCTGCATGTTTAACGTAATAGAAAACATATGATTCCATTAGAAAAAAAAAAAAAGAAAAATTGATTTTCATACGTCCTTTACGCGTCCACTTAGGAAAGAATTATTACAGCCATATTATAGACACATTCGTATTGTACAACTTTTATAACAAAAAAACTTTGTCTATTTCTCCATATCTCGAAGAAAAACGAGGACACTCAAAATGATATATATATATATTTTAATCGAAAATATTTAAATTAAAAAAGAAAGAAAAGAAAAAAAGAATCAATTAAATCTTTTCGACGGGGTTTAATTCTTTTCCGTTAGTTAACAAAATTGAAATAAAATCCTCTTGGTCCGATTACGCGTTCCAAGGGCTTATACTTGACACGAAAAAAGGTGTGCCCTATACGAAACGGAAGCGAACTTTTAATCGATCTCATTTTAGTTCTATCGACCGATACAAGGCTTGGTCATCATTGTATCTTCCTCGAACAAACAAGACGCACCTTTGAAACTTTTCAACCATGATATATGTACGAAAGTCTTTTCCTTATCTAACATGAGCGATCGAATATCTTGGAAAATGATCGAACGAAACTCGAGACTCTTCGTTAACTAAGTTTTTCCAGTATTCTCGGTATTCTCTACGATTGGATGTGAAACAATGATTTATTTCGTTCTTTCGAAAGAGTAATAGAGAGAAAGAGAGAGATAGAGAGAGAGAGAGAGAGAAAGAGAGAGATAGAGAGAGAGAGATAGAGAGAGAGAGAGAGAGAGGGAGAGAGAGAGATTTTTCTTTGCAAGGAAAACTACACTAGTCACGTCATTATTGTCACGTGTGCTATTAGCTATATCGGTAATTGTTTGCGTGTAATGTTCGGTAACCATGTTGCCAGCGACCGCACAAACTATCAAACGTTGAATGGCAAGGCTAGAGAATTAATTGTTTGCTTACATAATGGAGTATAATAATTACCATTGAAACGGACAAACTAGTTACTTGTCGACATAACGTTACGTTAAATACAAAAAAAAAATTCGTTTGTTCCTTTTTGGTTTTTTTTTATTTTTTTATTTTTTTTTATTTTTTTTTTATTTTTCGTTCTTTTCTCTTTATCTCTCTCTCTCTCTCTCTCTCTCTTTTTTTTGTTTTTCTTTTTTTTGTTTTTTCTTCTTCTTATACGTTTCCTTTCTCTCTCGTTGCACGTATATTGCATCATATTAGCGTTCGATGTATTATTATACTCTCGTTTAATCTCTCGGAACACTTCACTGTCTATCTCAGAAATCTTAAATTATATAACTGATAGCGTAGCCTTGAGTAACGCAGTGGAATAGGTCAATATTTGACATTGGTCAGACACCAATATATACGTATATACACGTATGTGTGTAAGTGTATAAGTTCGTAAGTGTGTAAGTTTTATGTATATATTTGTGTTCATATATGGAAGACGTTTCTCGTTAAGGTTAATCAAAGAACGTTTACTCTATACACGAATGTAACTCGATGTTACATGAATGTAATAGTAAAGCTTGATGTTATCTTTCATATATAATTAAAAATCGTAGATTCTCATGAATTGGATATAAGTTCCAGTTGTACTTTGATTCGTTACTATTAATATAAATCGACAAAATTTACTCGAAATTCGTTTGAGTAATTTTTTATTTCTATATGTAAGGTAAAAGAAGCTGAGATAAAAAGAAAAGGAAAAGAAATAAGAAGAAAAACGAAATAGAAAAATGTTCGAAGATAAACGAGTGATCTTAACGAAATGAGAAAAGAATGAGAAGACATTAGATAAAAAATAAATAAATGAGTTAAAGAAAAGAAAAAAGAAAAAAACAAAAACAAAAAAAAAGAAAAAAGAAAAGAAAGAAAAGTAGAAGAAGAAGAGAAACATTGACGGATTGTTATTTAAGGATAGGATCTCTTGTAATTATTTGAAATGAAAACGATTCGTTTTCATGAGAAAATCTTTCGAGTAGTCGTGCGCAAATTGCGGTTAAATTTTACTCATTACAATAATAAAATTCAAAAATATATATTCTGTATATTTTTAAAACAAAAACAAAATAATATTATTTCTCTCTCTCTCTCTAAAACACACATACACCCCCACATACCTATATACATCTAAGTAAATAATTTAACAAATTTCCACTGTCCCGATAATAAATAGTTTACACAAGACTTGCTTCGGAATACTAATTAAGCGTGAAAGAGATAAATCTGTTTTACTGCGTCGTTTATATTTTCCTCATTTTTTCTTCTTTCTTCTTCTTCTACTACTTTTCTCTCTCTCTCTCTCTCTCTTTTTTTTTTTCCTGTTTTATCCTTTATTTTCCTTTTTTTTTTTTTTTTTTCAATTTGACACAACAACATATCTGTCAATAATCATGATACGAAAGTGAAATAAAGATTTGTTTTACGGTGATAATCAATAAAATATGGTTCCTTTGTTCTGAGTCTCCATTGACGCACGTTTGGTACGTTATATATGATTCATTCGTTAAAGTAGCGAATATTGGCTGTTTCTGAGATAGGCGCTCCAAAGAGAAAGGATAAAGAGAGGAGTCTTTCAGATGGCTAATGTTTGTTTTAACGAAAGTATCCAATCGTTTTTCAACATCTGTCTATTTCCGTTTTACGTATCTTCCTTGACATGAGCGTAGTTACATGGTCAAAGACCCCGACCGGAGTACAGTCGATTGTTTTCCATTGAAAAATTTCTTTTGAATAGAATCATTCTTCCATATCTTATATGAAGTTAGTTAGAGCCAACTTGTGTTTAGTATAATAAAATGGAAAAGATTATATATTAGGTTGGAAACTATGAAACGGGCGTTTTTGTTTAGTTATTTATTTTCTTTCAACGCCCGTTTCATAGTTTCCAACCTAGTTTTAGGTTGTAAATTATGAAACGGGCGTTTTTGTTCAGTTTTTTATTTTCATTCAACGCCCGTTTCATAGTTTCCAACCTAATATATATATTTATATATTTTTATATAAAATTTTTGTATAAAAATCATGTTTTTAATGAATATATATATATTTTAGAAAACACAAATGCGTATGTTTGTGTGTGTTTGTGTATATATATATATACATACACTTGGGTGGGATACCGTTTTGGTATATAAAAGAAAGATTATTTTAATAACAAAATCGTGACAAGCGTTTATATTGTGATTGTTTTTTTTTTTTCGTTTTTTTTTTTTGTTTTCTTCGCGATATCGAATAGATTATTGACCTTGTAATTTTGTTTATATTATTACAGTTTTGACGTCGAAAATGGAGCTTCGACGTTGGACGGTGGTGCCGGTGGCGGTGGTGGAGCCTCGCCAAGTGCAGGCTTGGTTCTCCAAACGCTACCACAAAGAAGGGAGAGTTTTCTTTATCGAAGTGACAGCGATTTTGAGATGTCACCGAAGTCGATGTCACGAAACAGTTCCATTGCCAGTGAAAGGTAAGATGCTTGTTTCTTTTTTTCTTTTATTTGTACTTTCTTTCGTTTTTCTCGGAAGACACGTATATATATATATTTTAGTAGATCTCGTTGTAAGAAAAATCTATAAGGTAATCGAGGATCGAGGTAAATTAACGGAAAGATTATTATATTTTTCTATGATATAGATCAATTAAGAATCGAACGACGAAGATCGAATTTATTAAGCTACATTTATATAATATTTTTTGAAAGAATTATAATATTTCTCATTGTTTTTAATTCGATTTCCGAACGTCGATTGAACGAACCTCGTGCATCTTTCTTTAAGAAAGGAATCTGCAATATCGTCCGATGCACTTTAGTTTCTACATGCAATGACGGGATTATCGTTCGTTGGTATAACAGATTTCTGTAATCTTTGTGTGATTAGATTTTGCTCGATAATGTAGGTAACTAGCAAAAAATTTGTAAAGTCGATGTTATCGAGTAACTATGTAGGAAAGAAGCGGTCATTAATTTATTTACATTCGTTTCTCTTCAATATAATCAATAAACGAGATCATTTTAAGCCACGTGATAATCCCTTCGTTGGTATTTCGTATCAAAATTTGCACGCAGCTACAATTGCTCACGCCAAAGAATGTAGATAATAACATTTTGATATTTCGAAAGATGCTCGATGGCCGTTTCGAGCTTCAGAATACGTAGGATTATTTTGATATTTTTTTTTTTTTTTGTTTTTTTTTTTTTATTCGTCATATGGATCGAGAGCTGTATGAAAACAGCCATAAATGTGTAGCTTAAAAAGTATATTTGTAGCTTTGGTGACGGTGATGCTTACGATATATATATTATATTCATTTTCATTGATCATATACGTTTGTCATTCATCTATCTTGACTCGTTTCTACATTAAAAATTTACATACACGGTTTTCTTTTTTTTTTTTTTTTTTTTTTTTTTTTCTTTTTTTTATTCAATATAGAAACAAAATGTTACGAAATAACGTTGTTGTAAATTTTTAAAATAGAAACAAATAAATCTAATATTAGCGATAATTTTTAATCTTTCAAAATTTAAAAATTATCATTAATGATTTCGTTAGTTCGTATATTTTCTTTAATGAAATATATCAATCAATTGTGTCAATTAGTTTTACAAATATGTATATTTTTTTGCCCTTTTTTTTTTTCTTTTGTAAATTTCCAATCATTACAAAAATTATTATCAATAATCGGTGCGGGGTGTAAAAATATCATCTGTGTGATCCTTGGGTTGCAGGTTCAAAGAGACAGAGCTTCCTGTCGAGCGAGCGTATGTAATCGATCCTATTATTTATTCTCTCCTATTTCATTTGTTTTCTTTACATTTAGATAATACACTCACAAATCTGATTAACACCCCCGCCACAATAATCGGTCGTTGTAAATGAGAGAAACATTGTTTCACATTGTTTTTCTTTCTAACACTAAAATTCCAGGCTCACATCATTTCTTCTCTCCATATATATATATATATATAAAAAAATTAAACGTGCATGAAAATTTTTTAAAAACGTGAAAATTTGATTTTTGCCAGAGTTCGACCGACAATTTACTTTTGACCTTTACTCCCACGTTATGATTCACTATAAACTTTTCATTTTGAACTTTGTACAAAATATAGAATCCATTTTAATTAAAACAAAATGGAAAAAAGAGAAGATCATGGAAGAACTATGGCAATGAGTTTATTTTTCTTGTTTCTTTTTTTTTTCATTTGTTTTTTTTTTCCTTTTTTTTCTTCTTTTTCCGTCTTTTTTACTATTTGTAAGCACATCACTCTATTTTCACTATTATTACGTATTCACATTTTTTCTTCTTCATTATTTATTAATCCCATAAATACCTTGTACAGTAGCAAAAATGCACACAAACCAATACAAAATCTATTTTAACACTGCGACATCGCTTTTTTCTTTTTTTTGTTTTTTTTTCTTTTTTTTTTTTTTTTTTTTTTTAATACATAGACTAGATAAAATAAATCTTACAAATATTTTTATTAACATATCATATTTATGATGCTTGCAATGGTATACCGAGCTATCGAATTGGCAAATGATTAAGTAGTATCGTTAATTAGAGATTAGATAGTTTATTATTAACTAATTAGGTTCGAGAATCTGATGCTGTCGCACGAATTAATAAGTTCCGATAGATTATTAACGGGCAAAATGGAATGAAATTAATAACAAGAAATTTCAAACGCTTGGCTAATTATCGAAAAAGAAATTCAAGGCTAATTTCTTTTTTCTTTTTTTCCTATTTCATAAGATATACGAGCTTTTTCGTCTATAAAAAAAAAAAAAATAAATAAAAAAAAAAAAAAAAATAAAAAAATCTATTATCGCGTTCATTAGAATGTCACGCTTGTATGCAGTAATGCATTAAAAATGGAAAAAATTCATAGAAGGAAAGGGTGTGCGCGTATATTTTTACAAGCATGTCGGACAAATAGTGGAACGTTGTAAAATAAATGCGAATTCTTATTTTCAGGATATTTACCGATCAGTACAGGTAAGTCCGGCTACTTACGTAATTTCGATGTCCTGCTTTTACCATTAGAAATAACGAAGGAAAATACACAAGGAGAGGAATAGTTTTTTTTTTTTTCCTAAAAGCGTGCGTCACATCATTTTACATAAAATCGAAGAATTCCAAATGGAACGATCCCTATTTTAAATGGTATACCGAAGAATAACCGGTGGCGATACTATGATATTTACATAGAAAATACGTAAAATTATATACGTATATACGTATACGTGTACGTTATATCTATATACTTAAAAAAAAAAAAGAAAAAAAAAATATATATATTGATATTATTATTAATCATCGATCATTTTTAAAAAAAGGAGAACAATAATGTCGACGATCATTTCGTATGATCGTGAAGTCGCGTAAGCGTCAATTACGATTTCGTTTATCTATCTTTTTCTATGAAGAGGAGAAGAACGTATCGTTGTAGTAGCATAAGAACGAAAGTGCATAGCACGTAAATATTTTTATCTAAAGTGGAGCAAACAAGGAGTCGATGAGCGATTCACATAGAGGGCTCCCTGTTATATACATTTTATATGCTTTTCTTCTCTCTCCATCTGTCGTTGAGAGGATTATCGAGAACACGTTCTAGCAAGTGAATCGAAACTGTGTTCGACGAAACATTGTCGTCGATAAGTTCGAAACTTTGGAAACTATAAAGTGAGATAGACAGAAAGAAATATATATAGAGGTAGAGAGAGAGAGGTAGAGAAAGAGAGAGGAGAGAGAGAGAGAGAATGTTTCATTACTTGACTTTTTTATCGCCTAAGTCTAGATACGTAAATGAGTATTAATTAAAAAAACGAGCTACGCAAACAACGATTTGCTCAATTAACGCTCAATCCTCTTAATTACAGCGTTCACATGTCCACACCACAACATAACAAATCCACATATCTACATATATATATATCTGTATATATATATGTTATATGATTTTCGATTGTCACGCGAATAGCATTTTAATAATCTTTTTTCAATTAAAAAATAATTAATAAAGAATTTTGATTTAATAATCTGAATTAAAATCGAATTTTTAAATAACATTAATAATAAGTCTCGATCGTATATATGGATTGCATAGAAGATTAATTTTCTCGTAAAAAAAAAAAAAAAGAAAAAAAAAGAAAAGAGGAAAAAGAAAGAAAGAAGAGAAGAGAAGCGAAGAGAAGAGAAGAGAAGACAAGTATATCATTGCATCAGCTTCGAATTGAGTTAGACGAAACGTATCCAGTGATATGAGTCGTTATATAGTCAGCCAAATGACGATAGGATCGTAAGTAAATATGTGTTGTAGGACGGACGTATGGTACATGTGTTGCGTCATTTGCGATTTCATCTCTCGTTAAATAATTGATGACGAGTTCTCTATGCTATTGCGTTTCTTCTAAGATAGTAGTAAGCACTCACTTTTATAAACTCGTAAAGGGTTAAAAAAGAAAAGAAAAAAGAAAAGAAAAAAGAAAAGAAAAAAGAAAAGAAGAAAAAAAAGGAGCCGATCGAAATTAACTTCGGCGAGTGGCCGTAATTCCCACTAGGGTTTTACACGACACCGAGTTTACTGGCCTGTTGGTATTTTTTTGCGATCAGTAACAAGCGCGTAAACCAACACGAAGCAAATGGTACTTGTAGCGTGACGTCAGCGATCTTAACTCGGCAAATATTTCTTATAAGTAGCTAATTTCGAATCGATCCATTTTCCTAAAGTGCGATATATCTCTATCTATCATTCTTTCTCTCTCTCTCTCTCTCTCTCTCTCTCCCTCCCCCCTTTCTCCCTTTCTCCCTTTTTATCATTAATAAAGAGTACAACGTTCTTCATAAATGGATAAAAAGTTTTTGATCGGTTTGAATAATGTTCGAATTTTGTGACGTGTCATTTATCATCGACGATTAATAATTAAAATTAATGAATTTTATTAATTTTAATCGAACATATTTTGAACATAGGATTCTTTAATTTCACTAAATTCAATTGAAATATAATACTTCCTTTTCAATGTCTTACGTAAAACTCGTAATACGTACTATATTATGCGCATCCCGTTCCTACGTGACGATCGTTACGAACGATCGAGAATATGAAAAGCTGTTAAAGCATTAGGAGTCATTAACGTAGCCAGGATGACCTAATCAAGCAAACTCTTCTATCGTGGAACATCGTTAAAGTTGACCTTTTATTATTTAAGTTCGTTCTCCTACGGATACAGAGACGCATATTTTTTAATGAACGATGCGTTCGAGTGG